TCCCATGCATGAATTTCGTGCCCCGGGCCACTAGTATGGGATAATTACAGAAGTTAAATGAATTACAAAAGCATTAGTGAATTGGAGAAATTAAAAGGTTTCCATAATAAAATGTTAACACTATTCTACTGGCACATACAACAAGCAGAAAAGAGACTCGGTAAGAGTTATGGATGCTATGACAATAGCCCAGTCTCATATTTTAGATTATATTTGTGGCTGTCTCTTTGAAAATGAAAAGAAATAAATATGAAAAGCAGGTATAGAGAGAGAATCAGCAAAATTTGGAGAAGTTTGGAGTCCTAGACCAGCCTTTATGGAAAGAAGAAAGATGAGTATTGTTTTAGCCTCTGACTTAATATCTAGGATTGGTATAACCAGTGTAACAGATGCAGAAAAAGCAAGCAAAACTAAAATATAAATTTACAAAAATGTAAACAGAATTAAAATAAAGAACAAAATATAACAGGAAGTGAGGTTTTACTATATGCCAGCTAACATGTTAAGTATCTTATATACATATACTCATTTAAATATTAATTAGATACCACTACTACTTGTAATATTTTGTTACAGGAAGGCTGAATAACTTGCCAAGGCATTCTGAGGCAGAGTGTAAGCACACACTTTTCTAAATATGGTTCTCTGACATTTAGAGATAGTCACCTGTTCAACTTGCAGATTCCCAGGGTTTCACTCTAGAAACCTATAGTGAGCTTTCACAACAACCTAACAACAAACCACACCCAAGGCCATTTAATTTAATCAGAATCCATGGATGAGGGATAAGGGCATGAGTATTTTTAACCTCTTCACTAATCTAATGTGACAAAATCTATGGGTAAGACCTTGTGATAATTTAAACAAGCATCCCAGATGATTCTAATTAATATTAGAAATCTGACAACCACATAAATAAGGAAAAGAAAAAAGACTGAAGATGGACCTTAAGTTGTAAGCCAGATGGACAAGTCTTTTGGCCTCAGTGCTTTTGGTAAAATTGGGGGAACATCATCAACAATAATAATAGCTACATACATTGAGGGCTTAAATATATTTTTATGTTTTTCCATCTAGAATACTTTACATGTATTTTATTATATGATTTAATTTTCATAATCTCAATTTGGTGGGTGCTGTTATCTATTTTTTATAATAGTTCAGTAACCCTAATAATTCCATAACGCTCTTGGACATTTATTGAATAGGCCATCTTGCATATCTCCATAATCACTGCATCTTCTGAGGTATTGACACTGTACAACAGTGAGACATGCTCCAGTTATGATGGACTTCTCTTGATTTTGTTGGTATTGTTTGAAGCTTGTTATGTTCTTTCGGTTCCAAAAAAACATCTGCCGATGAGGTTTGGGAGCTCTTCTCTAAGTTTCAGTGCATTACTAGGCTTGAATATACCGACAGAGAAAGTCGCCACCTTATCGACTCTTCAGATCCTTAGTACCTTTTGAAATTGCATCATGTCATCAAAGACTTCCTTAACAGTCATTGCGCCATCACAACATTTAGCTTACCAGTTGGTTATTGTAATATACTAGTTATCAATGCACAGGGTGCAGCTATTTGCATCCGGTCCACCAGTTCATTCACAGGAGAAAGATAGCTCACTGAGAGCAATTCACAACTTCACGACACTAAGCCAAAATTGTGTGTTGATCCAATCTATGATTTAGACGGGATTGTATGTTGGCAAGGCCAATAGATACCATAAATCTCTTCCCAAGCTTGATATATCGTCCAGGAACTCTGATGAAGATCCAGCGACAGCATCATAAATATTATCAAATACTATTCTGAAAACAGAGACTTCTTCAGCTGCCTTAAAGTCCAAGTCTGGCCATTTTTTCCAGTAATGGTGATGCTGAGGCATGCGTACCTTGGTCAATAGTCACTTTGAAGACACACACCAACACTTTTAGGGCTTCATGAAGGCAATTAGTAACTTAGGTTAGGAAGACTAATCCTGGGTAGCTGGTGAACTGTCTCCTTCCACACTAAGGCAAATATGCCTGGGCAGACTCCTTGATTGCATTGCTCCATCCAATATCAGGGACTCACGTGGCTCCTTCTCTGCTCATGATCGGTAGCATCTTGCCAGTGATAGCACTTATTCTGTGTCTTGGTTGGTGGGCTCCCCTATTATCTAATTTCACAGATAAAAAAAATAGGCTCAGACAAGGTAAGTAACTTGCCAATTCCTCATAGCAAGTAAGTGGTAGAGCCAAATTTTGAACCAAGGTCTGTCTGGCTCTAAAACCTATGCTCTTAATCACTCTCCTGGCAAGAAGGACCACTGGAGAAAATGATGAGTTATAATAACATGCTATTAAAAAGTCACGAGGAAAGTCGCAAAAGTACTCCAGGAATGAGCAAAACTTAGAAGTTAAAGAAATAGAGATCCATCAAAATTGGACATACAGATAACAAAGTGTCAGTTATTGAATAATATCTCCAAGTGTAAAGCCCTATCATATAAAGTGCACTTAGTGGAGGTATATTAAGCAAAGCTGCATCTCACCTGTAAAAGGATCGGCTGCAGACATTGTGTTAGAAGAGCCAGATGAAGAGCCTGGAACGTACCGACCACCACCTGTGTATGCAAACAAAGGAAACATGAGAAGACTCCAAGCTTGGAGGAAAACAGAAGAACAAGACTGTTACATGGGAGAATAACAAATTATAGTCAAAAGTGTTACAGTTGAAAAGACTAGTAAGAAACTAAAATTTCAGTGATTCTCCGAGCTTTGTTTTCCTAACTTTAATACTTTATTATATCTTAGCCCTTATATTTAAATATTGAAATGATCAGGAATTCAAATAGAAAAAGAAAATTGCAGGTAGTCTCTGACCCAAGTAATATATACATACAATCAGTTCCTGTTCCTGTACAAATTCACTAGAATTCCTGCTGTTGCTTTTGCTATCAGAACCACAGGCATCAAATGTTAATCTTTTAGAAAACCCCTGGATTCATTAATTCATGTGTCAAACAGTGCATTCAGTGTAGGGATCCAGCAGAGAACATGATTGCTTGTATCCACTGAAGCTTACAACCTACTGGAGAAAGGAATTACAAAGGGGATGAGTGCTAGAAAGAAAACAGACTTCCATTTATACCTTTACAAATGCATGGTGTGTGTGCATATGTTTTATTAGAACCTCTAGGGAAATAATCAGAGGAGTCTACAAAAAGATATATGTAAAGATGCTTATAAAGTTAAGCTTCAGAAGAGCAAAAAAGCCAAATAGTATCAGGTTTCCAGATAGAACCAGATGCTTTAATATCTGTCCTCAGTCCCACAAATAACTTACACAATACTGCAATCATGTGTTCCCTCTTTTGCACTGTAGTCTGAAATTCCACCAACAGAAATGTCCAGGTAATACCTCCCACCACTCTTTTGTAAAGTGCAGCTTTTGGGAAGGCTGCGTCATTTATAGTTCAGTAGTGAGTCAGACTGATCATCCTGCTCAAGTCAACATGCAGGTGAAATTAGCTTTATTATGTGAACTGATGATGGAATGTTGAAAAGAGGAGATAATGTGGGTACAATGAGTGTCTATCAGGGAAGAAGGAAAAAGGACAGATCTATATAAGGACTTGAGACAGGAAGAAGGCATGAGACCCTTCCTTATAAAACAAGAACAGTAGTAGCATATGAAAAATGGAATCAAACGGACCACAGCCAAACAATAACAATTCAGTACCAATTTCAAAATTTTATTTAGAGCTTGCTCTATACCTAAGAAAAGAGGAAGGGTTTTATTTCATCCTGTACCATGGCTTTGGTTCCTGGGACCCAGAATTCAGACTAATACTACTAGCATTATAATTTATGGACTGGCATGAGAACCTAATCCCATTTGCAAAATTTTAGATACTATGCTATGTTACAAACAACTGACTTAAAATGAACATGTGGAATATAAATCACATATAAAATCTAAATACTCACAGTCCAGTCTTAGATGTGATGCACAACTAACCAATTTAGCCTCATGTGGAAACTGGTAAATTTCATCACAAAATATATGTTTTTTAAAAAGTTAACTATACAAAGGAACATAGAAGTTTCTTTTTATGTCAAATGACTAAATTAAAGTTTCTTAAAATTATTAGTTTACAGTGTGGCTCTATTTTTGTAACAGGACAATTTATAATCGTTTTTATAGATACAGAATTACTATATAATTTGAGGCTTGCAAATATGAATGTGAAGTAAAAACCTACTGCAGGATCTTGGTTTTTATTTACACAGCTAATCATAATGGGCATTTAAACACATCAGAAAAAGAAAATTAACCAACACTGATGGAAAGAAGCACTTTAAGACTTAATACAAACCCTAACTTACCTGTAAATGGATCTGACAAACTGGTATTCCCAAGTCCCAACATTTGACCTTTTGTGTTATCAATAATAAATTTTGCCACTTGATCCAAAAACATGGGATTCAAATCATTCTTCTGCAAGAAGTTGTATGCAGTTAACCAGGGATCATCACTGATGTTATATGGCAATTTATAGGATGGTCCACCTTCATTGACATCAATTGAGAAAACATAATCAAATTCCTTTAATAGGAATATAAAAAGGAGATAAATGATTACTAACTTATATGTTCATATGTATTAATGACATATATAACATAGATTTTATGCGTTAACTTTAATAACTACAGTACTTAAACTTTCTCCAAAGTGCATTGTTAAAATCTTCACTTGGCATAGCATAATAGCAACTACTTGAGTGTGCTGCAAGATTAGCATTTCACTAGGGACAGAGGTGAGGGAAAGATTATGATGACATTAATTCTGAGGCCAAAGGGGCTTCCAATTGGCTGATCTCAAGGCCAAAAGTATTAGCTGTTACCATGCCCAGCTCACCAAAACATTCTGGCATTGTAAGCACTGCCCTGAGGGTCCCTTCTGCCTTTACAAGTTAAATATAGGCATGCAGCATTAGATGAAAGGTGGCACAGAAGCTCCTAATCCAAATGGTTGGTGATAGCTTACATATGGTTACTACTAAAAGATAAATAATGCCAAATCTGTCTGTGAAATGCAGCCCTTCGTACATGGAAAGAGTTTCTTTAAAAACCTAATTCAAGACAGGGAAAAGATAATTTCCCCATAGAAATATATTTTTAAATGTTAAATCCCGGGTTCGATTCCGGTCAAGGGCATGTACCTGGGTTGCGGGCACATCCCCAGTAGGAGATGTGCAGGAGGCAGCTGATCGATGTTTCTCTCTCATCGATGTTTCTAACTATCTCTCTCCCTTCCTCTCTGTAAAAAATCAATAAAATATATTTAAAAAAAAAAAATTAAAAAAAAAAAAAAAACCTAATTCAAGACAGGGAAAAGATAATTTCCCCATAGAAATATATTTTTAAATGTTAAAACATGAGAAAATTGTATTAGCATGGAGAAAGGGAAAAGAAAACCTTTAATTTGTTGAATACTTTAAGATAAAAGTATTTAGAAAGAAGTCAACATACTTTCCCTTCATATAGAACTTTTCCAGATGTTTGCTGATTAGCACCAGATGAGCCAACAACATCACCAATTTTTATCCACCTCCCTTCACTAACACTCCACTGATAGGCTTCGACTCTCTCCCCATCTCTGATTAGACGGGTCTGTCCTTCTCTAGAACCTTAAAATAAAAATTTTGAGAATCAAAGATAGAATGGCAAAATAAAATTCAAAAACATTTAGACAGAAAATTGTTAACATTAAAATTTATACATAAAAGAGAATGTGTGTTTTGGTTTAGTAGAAAATTTTATCAAACAAAAGATTATTTTAAATTGTACTGGAAAGTGGCATAAGAATGGTTAAAGGAAACTTTATTAAATAAAGGTTAAAAAATTTGATTCTAGAAAACAGCTAGCCCATCAAAATTAGAACAAGTTTTATTACTATCTTCTGACAACACTTTCATTCCAGTAGAGTCTCCATTCTTCTAGCTTCTCAGGCCCAAAAGTGTAAAGTCTGATTCCTCTTTCTTGCAGCCACATAGCCAATCCTTCAGCAAATTCTATCAGCTGCCTTTAAGTATATCTAGAAAACTATTTCTCCTCACTATCTCCAGTGATACCTGTGGAATAAGCCACCATCATGTCTCAGCTGGAATTATTCAATGGCCTCCTACTACTGCCCTGGGGTCCCCTGCAGTCCATATACAACCCAGCAACCACAGAAATTTTTGCAAAGGTTTAAGGAGCTCCTGACACATCTCAGCTGGAGACCCTTCAATGACTTCCTAACTCACCCTTGATAAAAGACTACGTCACTGGAGTGGTGTACAAGGCCAAACATAATCTGCCTCTCCCATCCTCGCTGACCTCACCTTCCACTACTCGTACCCTCATCCCACCATCCTACTTCAGCCATGGAGTCTTTGCGCTAGCTATTTATTCTGCCTCTGACACACTTCACACAGGTGCTGGCAAGATTTGCTCCCTTGCCTCCTTGAAGACTTTACTGAATGTCAAGTTCTCAGCAAAGCCTGCAGTGGGAAGGACCCTGCTGTCCTCCAGAGTCATGCTCCTATTCCATAGAGTAGGGCTGTGGCTGTCAGGTCAGAGACTACTTACTCTATTCAGCCCCCTTGCCTCTTGCCTTCCCTCGGGGTTACACACTGAGTATACAGTCAGTGGTATCTGTGTGGGTGTGATACAGGCCTATTCTAGGCCTTTTCCATCACTGTCTACCCTCCCTTTTACCCTGTTTGATGGATGAAAGTCTATAACCAAGGAACCTTTGATATCACATGCTGAAGATGGTGCTTTCCATCAGCCTGGGTCCCCATGACCCCAAAGAGCAAAATTATTCTACAAACATGCTCCAGCATATTCTGCCATCAACCGAACTTTACATGTGCAATAAACTTTTCTTGTTAAGCCACTGACATTTCAGGGTTTATCTGTTACACATAGTGCTATCCTATTACACATTTCCTGACCACTTTATTTAAAATGATAAAACAGCCACAACCCTGGCCTTATTTTTCCCATAGTACTTTACTTATTATCTGACATCTAAATTTACTTTTTAATTATCTGTTTCCTCATGTAGAATATAAATTTGTGAGAACAGAGATTTTTGTATCTTTTGTTATCTGTTCTATTCCCAGATCTTAGAACAACGCCTGGCACACATTAGGCACTTAGTAAATATTTCTTGTATGTACGCTATATATATAATGACAGAAAGACTATATTTTGTAAAGAATTGTAAAAATATCAAAACATGGTATTAATGAAGCAGTTCTTAAAGTTTTAGTTTCAAAGTCTCTTTATAATCATAACAGTTATTCAGAAGCCCAAAGATCGTCTTTTAATGTGGGTTGTATCAACTAATTTATTGGATTTGAAATTAAAAATGAGAATATATTTACTTCCTGGAAAACAATAATAGATTCACTACATACTGAATAAACATTTTAATAAAAAATAAGTTTCTTTTTAGAAATTCAGTGAAAAGACTGCCACTGTTTTCCATTTTTGTAAATCTCTTTACTGTCTCTCCTAATAGAAGACGGCTGGATTTACCATATCTGCCTGTATATTCAATCTGTCGTTCTGATAGAAGTATATGAAGAAAAAAAAAAAGTTAAAAAAGGGGAAGACTAGCTTAATATCCTTTTCAGATAAAATATGGATATTGTGCAAGTAGTAGGTCCTTAAAGGTTACAATTTAGAATCTGAAACCATACCAATGACTTTGTCATGCTCTATTAAACTAAAATCCATTGGTCTTTCTTACACTTTGAACAAGTCTTTTACACATTCATGATTTTGTAACACCATGAACTGGCATTTGGAAAATATTAAATGAGTTATGCAGACTGTCCACATGTTTACACATTTTATTATTTAATATAAAAAAAATCACACTGTTGCCCTGGCCGGTTTGACTCAGTGGTTAGAGCGTCAGTCCGCAGACCTGAGAGTCGTGGGTTCCGTTCCCGATAAGGGGCATGTACCTCAGTTGCAGGTTCCCCAGCCCTGGTAGGAGTGTGTGTAGGAGACAGCCAATCAATGTGTCTCTCTCGCATGGGTGTTTCTCTCTCTCTCTCTCTCCCCCCCCTCTCTCTCCTCCCCTTCCTCCCACACTTTCACTCTCCAGAAATCAATGGAATGTCTTTAGGTGAGGATTATTAAAAAAATAAAATAAATCACACTGTTAATAGTACAACTGATATCATTAGAACAGTCTTGTAAGCATTGGAAAACTATTAAGTTCCTGGTGTGGAGTTACAGATTTTCTAAAATTTCAATTCACACTAGAAAGTTTGAATTTTATTTTTGGCAACAAATATCATCAGTTGTTTTCCTTAAAGTGACAAGCTCAGTTTGTTCATTTTTAAGAAATGCCTGCCAAATACACAAGCCTGAATAACCAGTCGATTTGTGAAATAAAAATGGCATTTCATGAAAAAGCCAATAGTTCAGCCTTCAACATGAATGACTGCACAAATACTGATCTTTGAGACGCCATGGAACTTTAGTGCACCACATGTGTAATTTACATTCTGTCACCCAGAGTATTTTTTTAAATTTACTAAAGGGGTAAAGAAGTAATAAAATTAATGTTTAATGCTTCATAAAGGACATTTGAGGGCAGATAGCTTTTGTTTTTTAAAACTACAACTGTGCGTTGGTGCAGAACACGACTACTGGACACTGTGATGCAACTACCTTGATTTGTGAACTAGGGAGCCAGCAGTTTTACCCACCATTGACTTCTACACTAAATGATTAGCAAAACAACCTTTTTTCCCTATCACTTTAATCACTCCAAAATTCTGGAATAATTGCTAACAAGTTTTACTACTAGATAACACGGAAATATTTACCAGGTTCGTTCAGATGTTCCCTCCCAGGAAGCTGCTCCGCATTAATGTTCCCTAAATCACCAGTTTTGGGATCAATGGTTGCCTGAGAGAGTTCCTTTTCAAAGGCCTTGATTTCTTCAGCACTTGCTGTCCGATCCACTGATTCTGTAAACACTCTAATGATACCATCACTATAAAGAAAAACAAAATGATTTTAAGTCATTGCCAGAGTTTATTAACATTATCACACCTGAGTGATCCGAAGCAAAAATAATCTTTGTGAACATGAGAAATGTTACTATGTATTTATTGCTGAGTATTGCACTATGCTGACTTGAGCACACACTGCCCTCTATTATTTTTTACTAGTAAAGCAATGCATAGGGTGAAAAAAGACTAGGGAAGCCCTGGCTGGGTAGCTCAGTTGATTTGAGCATTACCCCAATACTCGAAGGTTTTGATCCCCTGCCAGGGCACATGCAAGAATCAACCAATGAATGCATAAGAGGAACAACAAATCAATGCTTCTCTCTCTCTTTCCCTTCCTCTCGCTTTAAAAATCAATCAATAAGAAAAAGCACTATATTAAAAAAAAAAAAAGACTAGGGAAAAGTTATTGGCAAAGGTCAGAGAAATATATATTTAACATAAATTTTATTCATTTTTTATTTTTTTAACATAAATTTTTATTCTAAGTTAAATAGTTACCATGATAAAAATTTGAAAATAAAGTGTATGCTTTAAAAGTCAGTATTACTTAGGTGTTACAGTATACGAAGGGTAGTGGGTGGGTTTACTTTATTAAAGGAAGGAGTACCCAACATAGGACTTAGCAGGTAGCAGATGCTCAATATCTGTTCCTCAGGGAAACATGGAATCAGCCTTTCGCATGCCATTAACTAGCAGTATAACCCCAAATCAAAGGGTTTGGTCTAGATGGCACCTTTGGTCCTAACCTCTAATCTCAGAAAAATGACTTCATTTCCACGATTTCTCAATTCTAAATTTTGGGGTGGGGAAGCAAGTTAGCCACTTTCAAATATACTAATCCTACCTAATTCTACAGTAAATGTTTCTTGCATAACCTTCACTAACAGCAATTTCAGCCTTTCAATTCGTTTATTTTTCTTCAACTGTTATACCAACTACTTTTGTTCAGTACCAGAATCGTGCATACGGTCTCTGCAATTCACAAGTTCTCCCTTGTCCCCATTGTTTTTAATGCACACTTCCAATCACCAAGAGTTTGAAGCTTTATCCTTTTCTTTCACCCCATTTCTGATCATTTTCCTCTGAATTATCTCATTTTTGGTCTCTTATCCAGTGCCATGAAGGAGCCAATATTTAATAACTTCACACCCTTAATACTGCAGCTGCTTTCTTTGGCTTTCCTTCCCATTGTCAACACCAATTAAATGAAACATCCATATTTAATAATTCACAACTCCTACTTTAGTCATCTCACTTTTTGTTTAAGAGCTATAACCCTTTTTTTAAAAAAAAACATATTTTATTGATTTTTTACAGAGAGGAAGGGAGAGGGATAGAGAGTTAGAAACATCGATGAGAGAGAAACATTGATCAGCTGCCTCCTGCACATCTCCTACTGGGGATATGCACCCGCAACCAAGGTACATGCCCTTGAGTGGAATCGAACCCGGGACCCTTCAGTCCGCAGGCCGACGCTCTATCCACTGAGCCAAACCAGTCAGGGCAAGAGCTATAACCCTTTAACCCCAAGCACTAAATCTATAAATGAGCCCCATCTTACCTATTATCCACTTTTCCCCAGCATTAGTCCTCCACCATTTTCCTTTATCTCCTAAGACATCACTTTCATTCCCATGCTACATCTTTACTTATAGTTGCTTTTGATAAAAATTCTCATTTCCCTTCTTGCTCATTATCTTTCAAAATCCCATCTACATTTCTTCTCCAGAAAGTTTTCCCAGACCAATCTCTACCTTGGCTGACTTCTTTTGCATTCAGAGTTTCAACTGTACAACTTACAGTACTGACATAATAAATCCAACATCGTTAGTGTAAAAGCTATTGTGCCAACTACTTTTGTTCAGTACCAGAATCGTGCATACGGTCTCTCCAATTCATCTGAAATTCCTTATGGCTTATCTCTGTGCACTCTAATGCCCACCACAGTCCTAAACACATATTATTTATTGATTGACTAGAAAATAAATACCTCGCACCAACCACAATGTCACCATTGTCCAGCACACAGCAGCACCATATAGACTGAGCTGGAAGTCGGATTGTTTGAGCACATTCCCCATTTTTCCAGATTCTCAGGGATCTGTCTTCTGCTGTTGTCACAAAATCTGAAAGTGATAAACACAGAAAAAATTAGGTTGAATAAATACAATTAAGTACATGCATATATACCATCTTTCTAGACAGATTTTTTTAACTCTAAAGTATTTTAAATTATAGTTTTAGATTCTATGTATTTGTCATTTTTATATAACTTAAAAAAAACAGGTTTTTATACATTTTTCATCTTACATACTAAACACCAATAAATTATGTAAAACCTTTCCTCAGATACTTAAGAACTTTTCACAACCATCAAATGTAAAATAATATAAAGATGATCATATCATTTTCTCCTTTAGGAAAAAATGTAAAGTCACTAAATTATTCAAGTTACAGTTAGTAAATTGATTTAAGTCATCAGTTCTCCTTCCCTCACCTTAAGAATGTGACGAAATAAAGGTTAATACAAAATTTTAAATACATGGTATAAAATAATCTTACCTTTACAATTTGGAAAGATAGATATGCTATAAATATAATTTGTATGTCCAAAATAGACTTCGAGACACTCGCCAGTAATTTGCCACCTTCTAACACTGGCATCATTTGCGCACGAAAGAAATTCTGTTTCACTCAAAATTGCCAAACCTCTTACACAGTCTTCATGCCCTGTATTAAAAAAAATATGTCAATCAATAAAATAGATTATTTGGGTGATGGCTCTATGTATTTCATAAACATTGTAAAACACATTGGTGAATAGTAAAGCGTGATTTCAAATTTGAAAAATTCAATTTTTCAGTAGAAAAGCCTGATAACCCAAATTTATATTTCAGATTTGGCCGTATCTTTTTTCTTACCAGTCTTGGGAAGTTATTTTATATTCATCGTATCTTCTCCAAATTCTGTCTTAAAACCTTCCAGAAACAGAATTTTGATCTCCACAACTCTCATTTTTTACCTTACAGTTCAACTTTTCTTCCCCAGTAACAAGATTAATTCATAACATACACAATATTCAAATATAACTGAAAACATAACAAGGAATAATTATCCCTTAAATTTCTTACCACAGAATACTGAAATTAATATTTATAAAACACCAGAGAAAATTAAAAATTAAGATTACAAAAGACTGTAATTATTTATGGCCTGAAATATTAAAACCATCAAAGAAAAGTAAACTTTTTTTCCCGTTGCAAAAATAGGATGAGAGATTACTTTCTC